GCGGATGACCTTCATGATCTTGTTCTGCTGAAGGGTCTCACGAGACAGGTTGAGGGGAAGGTCCTCAGAGTCGACAACACCCTTGACGAAGCTGAGCCACTCGGGGATCAGGTCGGTAGCGTCGTCAGTGATGAAGACACGGCGGACGTAGAGCTTGATGTTGTTCTTGGTCTTCTTGGTCTCGAACAGGTCGAAGGGAGCGCGCTTGGGAACGAAGAGGATGGCGCGGAACTCGAGCTGACCCTCAACGGAGAAGTGCTTGACGGCAAGGTGGTCCTCCCAGTCGTTGGAGAGGGACTTGTAGAATGAGGCATACTCCTCAGTGGTGATGTCCTGAGGGTTGCGAGTCCAGATGGGCTTCTGCTTGTTGAGCTCCTCCTCCTCGATCTTGGACTCCTTGACCTTCTTGGTCTTCTTCTCCTTCTTCTCCTCGTCGTCGTCGACCTCCTCGACCTTGGGCTTGTTGTCGTCGCCCTCGGTGGTCTCCTCGGCGGCGTCCTCATCCTCGACCTCCTTCTCGGTCTCCTTCAGGACGTGAAGGTAGATGGGGTATGAGATGAACTCGGAGTGCTTCTTGACGACCTCCTTGATCTTGGACTCGTTGAGGTAGTCCATCTGCTCATCCTTGAGGTGGAGGATGATCTTGGTGCCGCGGCCGATCTGCTCGCCCTCGGTGTCCTCGGTGATCTTGAAGGTGCCACCGGCGCTAGACTCCCAGACGTACTGCTCGTCATCGTTGTTCTTGGAGACGACGGTGACGCGGTCGGCGACGAGGTATGCGGAGTAGAAACCAACACCGAATTGACCAATCATGGAGATGTCGGCACCGGCTGACAGCGCCTCCATGAACTGCTTTGTGCCTGAGCGGGCAATCGTACCCAGGTTGTTGATGAGGTCGGCCTTGGTCATACCGATACCGCTATCTTGGATGGTGAGGGTCTTGGCCTCCTTGTTGGGGATGATGTCGATGCGGAGATCCTTGCCGCTGTCGAGCTTGCTTGGGTCTGAGAGGGCTTCATATCGGATCTTGTCGAGGGCGTCGGAGGCGTTGGAGATGAGTTCTCGCAGGAAGATCTCCTTGTTTGAGTAGACGGTGTTGATGATGAGGCCGAGCAGCTGAGAGATCTCAGCCTGGAACTCGAAGGTCTCCCCAGACATGGTGGCGGTTGTGTGGGTGTTGAGCTGTGGGAGAAGAGTCAGCCCGGGCTCAATGGTACTAGGCTGAAGTGACAGGCGAGTGGGCGAGTGTGGGGAAGACGTACAGTTAGGCGGGGTAGTTCGGTTGCTGAGCTCTTCTAATGCGCGTGGGTAAGAGCAAGCAGAGCGACGTCGATGTCTGTGTAGTGGCAGTGGGAGAGAGCAATTCGATGAAGAAAAAGTAGTGGGAGGAGTCGAGTTTGGGGCTGATATAGTCTTTGGTGGAGCTCGAGAATCTTCTAGACAGAGCGGCAGAAACGCAGAGAAGGCCGCGGCTAAGCCAATCACGGTGGGGCGCGCCTTCCAATTGCGCCTCACCGCCAAACGCGCCTTCCCCAGCAACGCCTAGTAGCGAGGGGCAGAACAATCGCGACGTTGTCGATGCACTCACACGTTGCTTGTCCCGCCGGCGACACCGCATAATTTACTTCTAGAAACCTCGCTTCTATTATTATCGTCGTCTCGATAGAGAGCACAAGCTTCCCCGGCGGCCGTCGCAGCTTCCCCTCACGAGCGCGCGCAGAAGCTCAGAGCATCAGCCTCGCCTGGACAGTCTCGAGCACCTGGGCAGCCTTGTCCAGCCTTGCGCATTGCTAAACTTGCATAGCTGCCTACATACTCGCTCCGCCACAGCAATCGCTGCTGCTGCCTATCCCATCGACGTAGCAAACTGCAGCTCGTTTCGCCAAACATCACCATTGCCTTTGCCAGGTTTCGTCGCAAGCTCCGCGCGCTCACCTTCACCACCCGATACCGCCGCCTTTCACGACGCTCGAATAATAACGTTGGATGCGAGGTGGGAACTGTACGAAGGTAGGATGTAGCAATAACCAGGAGCGCCAAACATGGCTGGACTACAAGAGTGACATGATGTAAAGGTAGGTGCGGAGTCTATTGTCACAAGGACCCCAAGACCCTCAACTGCATTAGAGAACAAGGTAGGAGGGGTTCCCCCTAAATTACGAATACATACCGCCCATCAAAAAGGCTCCGTCTGCCAGAAATCCAAGTTCGTAGGCGCAACCTGACCCAAGAACGTCTCGTCAAACCCAAACCCATAAGAACCAATCAAATCATACATATTATACTCATTCCCCGCCGTCACATCCACACCCTCATCATTGCGCGCCGTAGCCGCTTTGACAGGATCAAATACATGCGTGGTAGCAGGCGAAGCAGCCGGAAAGCCTCCCTGGGTCACAGACCCCGACGGCGTACCCGCAACATCCAGCCGTTTCAACAGATCATTGATGCCCTGAACAATATGCGTAGTGATATGTTTCTCGTTCAGATTCTCCGCCACCTTCGCGAGAAAAGAAGAGGAGCGCCGCGATAAGGATAGGACTTGGTTAATGTTAAAGTTGAGACCTAGACCAACGGGTTCGGTTGCCCACTCTGGCGATTGCACTTGTGCCATGCCGCCCCAGGTCTTTGCCATTTTCAACAGGAAAGTAGCGCAGAAAGCGACCATGGTGTGCGTGAAGATGGGTACTGCTGTCATGGCCTTGCGCAGATCAGGCTCCTCGAAGATTAGGGTGAGGGTGCTGGTTGCGGCTGTAATGGCGATGTTGGCTGCTTCGCGGCGGTCGTAGGAGAGTGATTCCGATGTGGCTGCGCTGGGTGGTGGGAGAGCACGCAGCGCGAGGGAATTCAGTTGGAATCGGGCGAAGTGGTAGTATAGTACCACGCCTTTCGATGGGTAGGATCCGATGGATGGACTGTCAGCGGATCGGGCTTGCCACGCGAGTCGCCACTGCTCAATGGCGAAGTTGAAGAGGCGGAGCTGTTGGAAGTCGGGTTCCGTCAATGGTTGCTCTGGATCGCTGCCGTAGGCAATGTATGCTTCTGTCAGGATCTTGAACAAAGTGACTTGGGCTCCCAGTCTGATATCTCCTGGGGTCGTTTTGGGACTGTCGAGGAAATTCTCAATGTTTTTGATGGCAATGTCTTCGTGGACGATAGATGGTCGTCCATATGCGATGCTGAACTGCTTGTCGCAGACATACAACGCGTACCATAGACGCACGTTGTCGCGCTGGTCCTCATGCCCTCGCATCAGCTTCTGGTATGACATATGCAGATTCATCTCCACGGCGTTCCTCACAGCCAGGCCCGCCAATTTCCAGCTCAAATTCGAGAGATAGAAAGCAGCAAGAGCCAGCGCGCGGATATCATCCAGATTCTGAGGCCGAGCGAGAAAGGCACTGTAGACCAATGAAACGAAGATGTTGTAGCATTTCTGCAGTGCTTCATCTCGACCAGGCGTGTGTAGTGCGGAGATGGTGAGTACAGCCGCAGTGAGAAGAGTGGACTGGCGACGGACTGCATCCAGAGAGTCATACGGGAAAAGTACACCAGCCCAGAGATAAAGCCGAATGTCCTGCATATACCGTCTGAACAGATCCTCAGCTTCCGGTAACGACACAATGCCTTGAGCTATGAAGTCTTCCTCCACAGAGTTGGAATTGGGCTTCCATCGCACGCTACTCCGAAGGTTCCGGATCCGGGTGAGGTCGTATAAGCTCTTCATGGGCGCTGTCACCAAGCCAGACTCCTCTCCGGACTCGCGCTCCACAGAGGTATCTCTCGTCATGTCCATGGGCGGCGGAACAACGAATGTCGCATGTCCACTCTCCGACATGACGTTTGTCGGGCTGATGGTCATGGTGCGCCCTGCTGAGTGCGGCGGCGTATCTTGACTAACTGGACTATCCAAACCAGGGAGTTTGTTGTGCTGCAGCAGACGCTGCACCGCAGAGCGCAGCTGCGACAACTCGGCTGTCGCATTTGATTTCCAACTGAAGTACTTAGCGACGGTGAAGAGAGCACGTGTGATATGAACCTACGCCGCATCTTCATCCAAAAGCCGTTGATTCAAATTATAAGGAACGCATTCCGTCCCGCTGCGCAAACACTTTGCGCATTTTGCTTCATTGTCAACAGGCTCACATTTGATCTTGTGTCTTTTACACTCCGCACCTACAGCAACACATTGTAAGAAAAAAAAAGAGAAGCAATGATGAAGTGGGGCGCAGTCCATGAACTTACAAGCTCTAATCCTCGGCGTTCGTGGTGCAGGTCGGCGCCCATCCTCGTGCTCCGCATCCTCACTCGGACGCTTCAGTGGAGACATATCCAAGGGGCCATGGCCATCGGAGCTGCAAGAGATGGAAATAGTCGGAGATCTTTGCGATTTCACTTGCGGGCTTAGAACACCGTGCTTTCGTTGCCTCCGTGCTCGTGACGTGCTGAGATTATTTGGGAGGCTAGCCAGCCATCCTGAGCGGGATCTGGCGCTTTGCCGCATGCGGCGGCGGGGTGGGGTTGTCAGCTCGAGTCGAGCCGTGTGTGAACTGCGTGTTCCCCACCGGCTTGCATTGTTGCTATTAACCTCGCTTTCTACCTGGTATAAGAGCCGATGGATAAATCCGGAAAATTTCAGGGCTGTGGGGGTGCAGTTACTAGCACTCGTGATGAGGCGCACGTTTGTAGAAAGCGACGTAGACGTAGGTAGGGGTATCTTGAAGACGATTTCACAGTTTGACTCAGCTTTACCTAGATGATACACGCACGTCAACCAGGAAAAAAACTGAGCAGGTCTGTAGCCTATATCAATGTTCAGTCACCTGCTTTGCATGCTTCTATGTTAATGTAGGCTGCAGACCTGCTTAGTTTCTCTTCTTGTATGAGGTGCACGTATATCGTATCAACACTCTTTTTGCCATTGCCTATCTACAATGATCTCAACGGTGAGGTTCGAAGAAGCTGGTATTGATGGTATCATCAGCCTCGTCAACAGAATCCTAACCCATGTCACCACCACCAGAATCATCTTCGTCATCGTCGAAGAAGCCAACCATATGAGCGATACCATCAAGGTAATGCTGTGGCCCTTCCATTTGTAGCTGGAGGCGTACAGTTCTGTAAACTCTAAAACCGTTGTGGCCGGTTTGATAACGTTGGGGGTGATTAGAATCGGCATCGTCGGCTCCAGTTCTTACCATTTGCCCAAACGTGTCGCCATGTGGACCGGCAGGGGAAGGAGCTCGGACATATTCCATCGCTTGATCCAGTATGCCTGTACGGTTCACAGCTGCAATCATTATGTTCTCGGTGATACTCCTGGCCAACTCTACTTCTTCGCACGTGATGTGACCTACGGCCAGCCCTTCCCAAACATCCAAGTAGACGTTGATCGTGACTTCCGTGACTTCCTCACCAGGATCGGCTCCATATTCCTGCACCATCTCGATCGCATCATTGAGCAGATTGTTTACGATTGGACCGATCACCCTGACCTGGTGCGGAGTGAGCATCGAATTGAATGCCTCGTCTCGTGCGCGGGTGATGACAAGTCTATCATCAGCTGAAATAAATCTTAGGTAACCATACGTTTCATCCGCATACCTTGCATATGAGTGAGCGGTACCGTGTGCTTCCGTTTCGTCTGACTGAACGGTAACGTGTGCATGTGGGTCATGACCTGGGAATGTAGTATACGTAGGAAGGTTGACAGGCTCCTGGGGTACACGTACGTCGCCGTAGCAAAGTGTACGATCTATGGGGCAAGTGTTCAGTTGGGGGTTACCGGACTTCTACCACGATTCGATGCAAGTCCGGTGGAAGAAGTGTTTGTCGCCACAGACCTTCGTAACGACTGCTTCCATGTCAGCCTGGCAATCTGTATCGGATGTGTGTTCATCTGCTGGATCGTAGACAGGAGGCGCGTCCTCTAATGACTCCTGGCAGATAGCACACTTCTCATCAGAGGGTGATTGCCGAGCCTCGAGAGCGGTGGACAGTGTAAGTGTGTGTGGGTCGACCGTCATTGTTATGCGTTGGGACTGTGTGATGGGCTGCGCTGATCAAGAGAAGAAACATGATTCTGTTCACATGCCGCCGGGAAGGTCGTATTGTGAACGAAACATCATGAGTCGCAATCTGCCACATAGTATTCACCTACCGCTTCCTGTTATTTCACACGGTCTAGCTGGTCCTCAGTGGAGGTCATCTTGTTCGATCATCGAGCAATTCAGATTAGGTGACTATTGCAATGGTATGAATGTGACACACAGGAACTATAATTGCTTCAATACGTCAACTCAACGATGTATGCATGAACTAGGCGCAGGAAAAAGAAGGTATATAGTCCTTTCCCGGTGGACCACAGTGTAAAAGGAGATGACATGATGCAGTATGAGGCCGAGAATTGTATCGTTTGCTCAGGTTCTGTAGGATAAACAAAAAGAACTTGTTTGCTTCAAAGTTATTTGAAAATTGACTTGTTGAAAAAAAAGTGGTGTAAAGCTGGCGCTGCGGCCCAGAAGCGCGACAGCCCTAAGAGCTATCACGCTAGCGTGCTTCGTCATCAGCGCGTCTCTCGCAGGCGTCATCCGGCACCACCTGGGCAGCCCTCCTCATCGAACGCAATCTGGGTGCAACTCATGAACATGCTCCTTCCTATCTAGCTCTGGTACTGTCACAATCTCCTCTAGTTCGCTATCGCCGTGTTTGGCTGGCAACTCGTGAAAGGTCACACCTGTCAGCTCCGGAGCTGGATCTAGCGCGTCGTGAGCTCCCTTCTCTTCTACCAGCACTGTGCTTTGCTTCCGCATTCGCCTAGGTTTCCATAAGAAGAACCATGCGCACAGGACACAGAGTAAGATCGCTGCTACGCAGCCCACGACGATCCCAGCTATCGCACCACCAGAGATGCCTTGCCAGCGGGCTACCTCGAAATCACGGTCAGCAGCTGGGATAGTCACTATATCAGCTTCCCCATCATCCCATCTCGCCGCGCTGACGTTGAATATGCTATTCTCGAAGTCAACGCCGATGTAAGCTTCTTGTAGGAACGCCCTACCAATGGCGTACTGGCTCTCATTATCAGCTCTTCGAATCGGAAAATAGTTCGTCGCATTCGCAAAGATTGGATACCCTGCCTGCAGATCGAAAGCCGCATATGGGAGTTGGATCAAAGTAGTGTTGCCACCCGTGACGGCGTTGGTACCAATAGTGAACGTCAAGGTGGGATTGAGTCCCCGAAGTCGATCCCTGGCCGAATCCGTGAGGACGTATCTGCCCGACCCCTCATGATACTCCAGACCGAATACGGACTCAAAACGATCGCAGACAGACCTCGGAAGCCATATCTCTGGAATGGATGAATCGATCGGAGCAAGGATTCGCTCATTGTCGACTAGCGAAAGTGTTCCGTTCAATGAGTCGGTTACTATGATGTCCTGGAGACCGACTGTAAGTGCTCTGGATATGTCGGTGTTGATGTCAACTGTCAAGGGCTCTGATGCACGTGCAAGATCATAGCCTCCAAGAACGAGGCTGGCGGCTATCTTCGTCTTGCGATACGGGGCGCCAGCCTGATATCCATACGTCAGACTGGGTATATGACCATCGTCCTTGAGAGCTGAGATCAGAGATGGCGAGCTGATTGTCTCTGAGAAGTTTAGTGGCAGCGGCAACAGTCCCATCTGTCCGATCCAGAAGCCGGGCGAGGCATACGCGGTGACCGCCAGATGTTCCAACGTGAAGTTATACAGCGCAACACTATCAAATCCATGGAGGCCGTTCCCGGTGATCCCGTGGATCCTTCCCATTCCGAGTTCATAAAGACCGATGGCTTCCCAGGTCGACGACATGTTCGCTTGGAACCCAGGACTTGGACTTTGTTGGAACGGAGCTGCACCACGAGAGCTGCCACACGAAGCCGAATCACCTTGTAGCGCAACACATTCATCGGCGACAGGAAGCCAAATGTTCTGCGCCTGAGTTGCCGGCAGCACACTGAATGTTTGCGGCGGCGTTCCCGCTTGAACGAGGAAACTATCACTGTCAGCACAAGCCTCAATGTACTTTCACATTCTACCGGAGGCGTACGTCGACCAGCTTCCATCGTTACCACACCAGCTCCCTGATGCAGCAAGTGACAGTGCTTCCACCATATCTTCGGTTTCCTGGCAGAGAAAGATGATGCTGTTCTACAAATGGTGGCAACTAAAGATAAGGAACGAAATACGGGTCTCCGGATGCGTCGATGCGTCTATACTTGACCATAAACCAAGTTTTGTGGCTGGTCTCGCCCTTCTCCACAACCGGATATTTGACAAGATGGTTGGTGGGCTGTGTAAAGCGTCACACCATGTGTCCTGCGGAGGCAATCAAGTGTATCGTATTCTTCCGGATTTAGTCAATGGAGTGCATTCTGGCCAACCACAACTGTCGTGCCCAGACTACTGTTGGGGGCCAGTCGCGAGGCTGAAAATGTTGGATGGTCGCTTATCGGTGAGATCGCGGCATAGAAAGCATCGTATCTAGCCTGACCCATTCCAATATTCGCCTTCAACTTTCCCAAGATATTGCTGTTCTTTCGCATACATTCACAACCTCTACGACCTTGAATTCAGCAGCATGTGGTGGTCTATGGCTAACACGTACTTATGCAACCATATGAGAGTCGTTTTACTCGCCACTCTGCTCTTCTCAGGTAAACTTTTGGCTAAAGAGGCATTTCACAGGCTCATAGAATACAGGTTCTGCATTTTCGGCAAACATTGCTCGTTCTTCAACGCCAATATCAGAGTGTCCTCCGCTCGTTACCCGGATCAGCACCGTGACTACCACCAGTACTAAAATAAACACTTTCCCCTCCATCTCTACCACAACTGAAGCTGTAACCTATTTTGTCGTTGTCTATGTTACTCCGTTCAGCGACGGCTCAACATTGACCCGCACCTCGGATGTGGGAAGCCCAACTGATGCTTCTTTCGAGAAGAGGACAGCAAAGACCACGGCAGTATCCTTCACGTATGTTCTGTGAGGCTAGACTAAAAACATGCTTACCTTGTACAGGACAAGTAGTCATCTCAACAGCTCCATTGCTATGATGACGAGCCGAACAGAGCCACAGACAGCCTGCCCGACTACGACTCTAACCACAACGATCACCATAGGGGTAGAACAGCCGGTTTCTTTCACCCTTACTACTCTTACTACAACCTCGCTTATAACGGTTGCAACATTGCTCATCTCCGATTACAGCGACCCAGCCACCTTTCAACCTGTCCCTATAGAGCCGACGTAAGTAGCAGATGCCTGCCAGTACCGACGTTAGCTGATCAGAGCGATGTAGCTCTACCACAGCGACACTAAGCCTGCGACCTACATTCACGGAAGTCACGTCTTCGGCGGGCCAGTCAAGCAATACAGACGGTGTACCTGAAGGACCGACTATCCCAGCATTGCCTCAAGATACGCCTCCAGGTAGTCCAACAGCAACATCGGTCCGTCCAACGCAATCAGCACCAAGGACCTCTGTTCCACCTGCAGGTACACTACCTTCGCTATCTGTCGATCTTCCGGCTACAACTATCATCTCCAGTCCCGAAGAAACGCGGACTACGAATATACCAGGCATTGGCCCTATTGGGGTTGACCCGTCACGCACGGCTATCGCGATAAGCGGTGCTGCAAGCTTGATCACTCCTGGACAGCAGACCACTATCAACGGCGTTGCAATCTCATTCGATACCTCCGCTTCGTTCGTTGTTGTAGGCGGCACTACGACGTTCGAGCTCCCCCCATCAACTTCGTCAACTCGAACAGCACCTGCAGTAGTCGGCGGGACGACCGTTGACATTGATCAGATCGCTACACAACTTGACCCAGGTGAAGTGACTACCATCAATGACATTCCGATCTCCCGAGACTCTTCGGTTTCATTCGTGGTCATCGGAGCCACCCAAACAATTCCGCTTCAGGGAACTACCCAACTGCCGGGTCCATCTGTAGTGACTATAGACGGGACGACTGTCACTGTCAGCGAGCTTGCTTCGGAACTTGAGCCAGGTGAGGTGACTATCGTTGGCACTATGACTATCTCACGCGACTCTTCCGCTTTGGTTGCCGGTACCACAACGATAGCGATCAATGCAGCAGCAAGCAGCGTGGTCCTTGGGGGCACAACGATTGCTCCAGGTGCTCTTCCTTCTGGGTTCTCTTTCATTCCCGCAACTGATGGAGGAGGCTTATTGCTGCCGAACAGTCAAACCTTGATGCCGGGCGCCATGACGACTATCAATGGTATCGAGGTTTCACTCACTCCCGGTGAAACGCCTGTCGTTGTGGTTGAGGGATCGATGTCCGTCACCGCATCTGTTACCGCGGATGGCAACGATGGCAACTTTATCAACAGCGGTAGCGGCGGATTCGGGCAGCCGACAAGCACCACCACAGGTGCACTAGCGGATTTCACCGGTGGTGCGATTGCGAGCGGTCATGGTGTATGGGATGCGCTGTGCACACTGGCTATGACAAGCTTGTTTTTCGGTATCGTGCAACGTTTGTTCTGATGTTATACACTAGTTCTCAGTATGCATTTAGGCTAGAAATCTGGAAATCGCAAGATTCTCCTGATAAATCTCCAATCATGGCATGGGTTCTGCAGTTGGGTGATACGTATACGTGCCCGTGGAGGCTGTTGATGGTGATGACGTAATTACGGGGTCCAACTTCCCGTGTTCAGCTCGCAAGGTTTACCACATTGGTCCTGCCTCAGCCTCCCGCGAACGCAGTCGAATCCTTCGCACGCGCAATGCTTACCACTAAGATGACTTTGGCATCATTGAGAACTGGTATACACGAATGCACTCATGCGATGCCTCCACCAGGGCGTAAGCCGCTCTTCGACGATGGAGTACTTACTGGTGTCGCCCCTGCTTTGGATGGCCAGAATAGTGCACTCCATATCCTCTCCTTGACACCATGACCACGCAGCCTCACCTAGAAGATGAAGCCTCTATATCGGAGACCAACGCGCAGCATGCAATGCTTCAACAAGCACAAGCTGCTGCTTCTGCCGTCCAGACTGAAACCGCAGGATCAACGAGACATGACTCTCCCTTGCAAACGACCGACCTCGTCACTCCAGATGCGACCGACGAAGAAGTTCCGCCTCCCCCATATGGCGACATCTATGGCGAGATTCGGAACGAAAAAGACGGCCTAGGCACCAGCGCAAGCGTCACCGAAGACGGCCGTGTCAACATCCGCATCAACCAGCTCAACCGACGTTTATCCCAAGTCTTTACTCCAGCTTTACGCGAACACGTTCAGAGTGTTCAAAATAGCAGCCCGCCTCCCCCTGCATACATCCCACCTTCATTAGGAGGTAAAGAAGGAGTTCCACCCCCAGCCCTGAATGTGGTTATCCAGGTTGTTGGCTCGCGCGGAGACGTGCAACCTTTCGTTGCTCTCGGGAAAGTCTTGAAAGAGACCTATGGCCATCGTGTTCGTTTGGCAACTCATCCTACTTTCAAGAAGTTTGTAGAAGAGAACGGCTTGGAGTTTTTCAGCATCGGTGGCGACCCCTCCCAGCTGATGGCTTTCATGGTCAAGAATCCTGGATTGATGCCCGGTTTCCGCAGTCTAGCAAGTGGAGATGTCGGCCGTCGAAGAAGAGATGTCGCGGAATACATTCAAGGCTGCTGGCGATCGTGCTACGAAACGGGTGATGGGATGTCCGACGACCACGGTTCAGATCGCTCCGCAAACGACGCCGGTTCTTTCCCTTTCGTCGCGGATTGTATCATTGCCAACCCACCAAGCTTTGCGCATATTCATTGCGCAGAGAAGCTGGGAATACCCCTTCATATCATGTTCACCATGCCATATTCTCCTACCCAGGCCTTTCCCCACCCTCTGGCGAACATTCAATCTTCTAATGCTGATACTCAACTCACCAACTACATCAGCTACGCTATGATCGAAGCCCTCTCATGGCAAGGCTTAGGCGACATCATCAACCGGTTTCGCGCCAAGTGCCTCGGCCTAGAGCCCGTGAGTATGATCTGGGCCCCAGGAATGCTCCAGCGCCTCAAAGTTCCTCATACATACTGCTGGTCTCCAGCTCTTATTCCGAAACCAAAAGATTGGGGTTCTCATATATCCATCTCTGGTTTCTACTTCTTGAATCTGGCCTCTAATTACATTCCTACGCCTGAGCTACAGAAATTCCTTGATGATGGACCACCGCCGGTGTACATTGGATTCGGAAGTATCGTTTTGGACGATCCGAATGCCATGACCGAACTAATCTTCGAGGCCACGAAAATGATTGCAGGCGGAAGACGTGTACTGCTTTCCAAGGGCTGGGGAGGTATGGGGGCCGAGGAACTTCGTGTTCCTGAAAATGTCTTTATGCTGGGCAATGTGCCGCATGACTGGCTTTTCAAGCACGTCGAATGCGTCGTTCATCATGGTGGCGCGGGGACTACAGCGGCAGGCATCGCGGCAGGTAAGTTCTTCGCCTACAGAACTAACACCGACCGAAAGCTGACTTGTATCTCTAATCCAGGCCGACCTACGTTGGTGATTCCTTTCTTCGGCGACCAACCTTTCTGGGGAGCAATGATCGCTCGAGCTGGTGCCGGTCCCGATCCAATTCCCTACCGGCAACTTACATCGGACAAATTAGCAGATGCTATCAACTTTTGCTTAAAGCCCGAAAGTCTCGAACGTGCCAAAGATCTTGCAAGCAAGATCGCTACGGAGCGCGGCAGCGATATGGGCGCTCAATCATTCCACCAGTATCTCGACCCCGACCGACTTCGTTGCAACCTTGCACCATCTCGAGTAGCTGTATGGCGCATTAAACGCACTCAAATCAGACTTAGCGCTTTTGCCACCTGCACATTGGCCAATGCCGGTCTTTTGGATTTCCATGACCTCAAGCTCTTTAGGGCACAGGAGTATGAGACCGATGAAGGCCCTCTGGAGCCTATATCTGGATTCGGTATGGGGATACTTAGGACGTTGGGCAGCATGAGTATGGGCATAGCTGAAATGCCTTCAGAGACGGCGAAGGCAGTTCAAGCTCCTTTCGGACCTAGCAGACAGCAGTCTGACACTTCAGTACGGAACGCCGCAAAGAGGAGCGAGCCGTCGCTATTAGGAGAGAGCTCCACTTCATCAAGCTCACAACAACACCCCCATTCCAGTGCAATGGAGCGGAAACCGCTTGCCCGCTCTCAGACCACCCCCAACCTCCCCACTCCGGCATCTCGGACTCCCAGCGTAGCATCCAGCTCTAGCAAAGACAATGACATGCTGCGCCCCACTGGCCTACGAACAAGCAGAGGCTTCGGACGCATCGTAAAAGCCGGCGTCCAATCCCCCATGGAACTATCCGTCGGCATAACAAAAGGCTTCCACAACGCGCCCAAGCTCTGGAACGACACCACCGTGCGCCCCCAAGAAAAAGTCTCTGACCTAAAATCTGGCATGGTAGCTATAGGCCGCGAATTCGGTTTCGGCTGGTACGACGGCGTCACCGGCCTCTTTACACAGCCCTGGAAGGGTGCTCAGAAAGAAGGCGCTAGTGGTTTCTTCAAGGGCGTAGGAAAGGGGATTGGGGGGTTCATAGCTAAACCGGGGGCGGCGCTGTTTGGGATACCGAGTCATATGATGAAGGGGGTGCATAAGGAGGTGCAGAAGAGGTTTGGGAGTAGTGTGCAGACGTACATTGTTACGAGTAGGACGGCGCAGGGGTATCAGGAGTGGGTGCAAAGTGGGGAGGAGGAGAAGGAGGATGTTGTTGAGAGGTGGGGGTTGATTCAGAAGTATTTGAAGAAGAGAGATGGGCTTGACGAGATGATGAAGGATGTGCTTGATGCGCAGCGGAAGGGGAAGGCGGTTGATGAGTCTACTACGGATTCAGTCCGGTCTGCGGATGCTTCTATCCAAGATCTTGAAAGTGCCACACTCACCTCGGAGTACAATTCGCATACTACGGGTACCGAACCTGAAGTACCGCTCGGAGCGGCGGAGACCAGCGGGTCTATCCATCAGCCAGTACAAGATACGCCCCGCGCAGGCGCTGAAGCGGAATCCAGTGAGGAACTACTCCAGGCGATGGCTTCCAGCGAAGTCGAAGCGCAGCAACACTCAAGAGAAGCCCTGGAATACGAAAAGCAGCTGAAGCAAGCCATGGCGCAAAGTCTGAAGGAACAGCGTCAGATGAACGAAGACAATGGATGGGAAGATCTCGATAGGGGGCGGGCAGGAACATCAGAGCAAATGGCAGCTACAACGAGTGATGGATCGCCAGGCGCCCATCGACCCCCTTCATATGACTCTAGTCATCTTGCAGGTACCACACAAGGTGAGTTCCAGGCGCAGCACCGAGGGGAGAAGACAATGGAGGAAAAGACGGAAGAAGAGATTGTGATGGAGTATGTCAAGAAGCAAAGTCTTTTAGAGGCGCACCATCAGAGTAAAGGAAAAGGTCGAGCTTCAGCTAGTGAGGGTGAAGACGAGGAAGAGCTGCAGAAGGCGTTGAGCTTGAGTATGCAGGCGCATGAGTAATATCCGAATGAACGTAAACAGGCTGATTTCCATGTCGCATCTCTCATAAGATAAATACATATTGTTGATACATGGTTCTTCTCTTACATCCCATTCATGCCGTTCGTTCCTCATGCCTTGGAAGTCTCAGCCGCCATCATCCTACTCGGCGCCTTAACAACAGGCGCCTCGTCTCCGGGGCTACCACGGAACGTCCACGTCCCATCCGCCACCTGATCATCCGTAGCACTATCCAGCCTCTTGAGCTCTCTCCTCATATACCCCACAATCTGTGCCAGCTTCTCAAAGTCAACATCTTCCTTTGCGCCGAGCAGATTACGCCAGATAGCCGCCGCAAGCATAGCGTCGCCCTTCATCAGCCCCTCGTCGTACGACAGCAGCACCGCCCGCCACTGCGAAAACATATCCTTGAGATGCTTCTGACGTAGCGAATTGGCGTTGAACTTGTGCCATATGACCAGTCTGTCCTCGGCTGCGTAGAAGGCCTGGTTGGTGAGGTGCTGGATCCATACCGGTGCGTGTGACTGGGGGAACATGCGGAAGCGGACTTGTAGCATGTACATGTGGATGAAGGTGATTTGGGCCCAATTCGAAAAAGTTGGCTTGAGTCCGAGGGCTGTGCAAAATGTGTTAGCGAAGGGCCTGGGTATCCTCATTGTGAGTACTTACTGTCATACCACCATCCTTCGGCCTCGCCCAGGTGCACACCATTCTCGTCGACGGGTATCTCGCCCCGCTTTAGCAGCGCCTGGGGTATCTTGTATTCACCCGGCTTCGTGCATTCCTTGATGAGGTCCCGTGTTGCGCCGTATGCGACGTACGTCTCGGTCATGAGTGGTGCCTTTTCGCGCAGCTTCTGGGCGAGGCCAGTCACGCCCGACGCCACAGCGGGATGCGGCTTCTTGATCGCTTCAGGCCTGACATCTGCTGACAGCGTTTGCGAGGCATGGTAGGCGGTGGGTGAGGTGGTGGAGATTGTTCGACGTGCTTGGCGCAGAGACGCTCGATTCGTTCGCTACGAGAGTCAATTATCCGCTTTGGAGAAGGGATCGTGGCTGTGTACCTGGAGCAGCGAGGTAGAGGACCTCAATAGGGCCTTGGAGCAGGCTGTGCAGGTGTAGTTAGACGACATGGCTGGTCGTGTTGGTCGGGACGGGCGTGGGCTGCTAGAGAGTCAAAAAGTCCAGAAGTCGCGAGTCGCGCCCTCCATCGATGACGGCACGACCCCGGCGCCGCCAACACCACCAATGAGCATCACCACAAAGCGCCTCGTCATCGCGCAAGACACCTGCAACACCACGGCAGGCCTGATAGACGGAGATTTGACGGCGATCTCGCGAGTATTGCTTGTCGAAGCATCGAGGCTGAGCCACCGGTGCTGATACGCGGGTCTTTAGGCCCATAGGGCGTCCAGGACAATCAAACCCGGGTTTGAATACCAAGATGGAACTTCGGCTCTAACTCGTGACACCCTAGGGCTTGGTATGGCAGGTCCCGAGGAACAGGGGCGGCACCGAAGCGACATCGCCGTCGATACTTGACCCCGTGGGCAGCCTTATACAATGCCATTGTTTCCCATAACCACAATCATTCTCCTATTCTTATCATACAGTCGTCCATCGTCCGTCAGCTGATCATGGTATTAGCAATAGCTGCGAGCGGCAGCCGAACTAATCGCAGAGACAATCCCGTCTACATCGAAGTGCTCAATCCGCCACCGACCTACACAAGCGGGGACTGCGTACAAGGCCAGCTAATCGTGGTGCCCACATCACAACCTAAACGCATAAGCATAAGTCTAAAAGGCTTCTCTGCTGTTGAAGACGCCCACCAAAGAAGCGTGCATCTTGAGTTCTATGGACTTTCGCAATTCCTCTACATACACGAAATCGCAGCCGATGAATTCCACCTCCGCGCCAACAACGGGAGAGATCCTGCCAGAGTTGAGCTGCCTTTCTCCTTCACATTTGGAAACCATGCTACGATACCACCTCCCGCCGGTAAGAAATATCGCTGTACGAACTGCATGTGAGACATGTACTGACTTCGTACACCTACGTTTAGGTAGAGTATGGCTTCATCCAGGGGACCAATGGAACCACCCCCGATTCCAGCATTCTCCTGGATTCCCTTTACCTCCAACACTCAACGGTCCCACACCCACAAGTCCACGGGTCGTGTACCACCTAGAAGCGTACATGGAGTCCGATCTACCCGGCACACCACCAGTGCGGGTCCGACAAGAAATCACCTACATGCCACCAGCGCCCCCCTACGACCGCTCTCTCCTGCAACCCGACCTAAACTTCGGCACCAAACTACCCAAACACTGCAGCGCAGCGAAGCTGATTCGGACACGCAAACTCCTCCCCAACTACGGCGAAAACTCCAGCAAACTCGGCCGCTTCAAAGACAAACTTGCCGACAAAGAACTCCTCTTCGGCATTGAGTCCTTTGCAGAAATCCCTTACGCCCAATTCAACGTCTTCGCCACTCCCGGTAACATCCTGGTCATCGGATCTCCCCTCCCAGCCGTCGTAACAGTGCAACACACCAAACGCTCAGAGTCCCTTCCCTCTCCACCGGATCTCTTCATCCGGCGCCTAAAAGTGCAGTTAAACGCAAAGATCAACGTCTTCCTCCCCAACGAAGCGTTCTTCAAACACCCCAGCCGAGTAACAAACCACACCGACCGCCGCACCATCGTCCTCTGCGACCACAAGTATGAAACAGGCGACGGCGAACCCCTCTACGACGGCCTCAACCTGCTCGACGTAGCGAACATCGAACTCGCAAAAGACTACAATAATAACACCATCGCGCCAAGCTTCACTAGCTACGGCCTGAATCTAGAATACGAACTGCAAATCGAGATCACGGGAAGGTGTGCGGATAGAGAGTGGTCCGGCATCGCTTGCACACAACCCGTACAAGTAGTCACGGATTGGCAGGCTGCTCCAACCGAACCTCCTAATGTATTCGAAGCTGGGCCGGGACCGCTGGCATACCACGAATTGGATGCTGCGCCGAGGATGTATGAGATGGCTGTTCATACGGAGGAACCGCCGCCGTATCATGATGAGCCGCCGCCGTATAATAGGATGCTTGGTAGAACTGATGTGGGGGGTCCGGTGGGGGCTATTTGAGCGGATTAATGTATTTGTTTTGCGTGTTGTGGTTTTTCGTGAACTTGGAGCGGGCTACGGCATGTGAGGGGGAAGTTTCGTTGATGGAGCTGTGTAAGAAGATGGGGTGTTACGCCCAGATTTGTTTGGAGGATGGGAAAGAAGGATTTCAAGGAAAATTTGATGACTTCGCTGGGGTTGTTGCGTTGTAAGATGAGGACTTCGGTCTGGATTATAGGCCAACTGTACCGTCTTTTGTTATGAAGACGGTAGAGAACGATTGCAGAGCATGAGTATGGCGGACATGCCTTCGAAGCCGTGGTTCGATTAAGCTGTGGTCACATTAAACATCTGTACTAGACGCTTTGCGCAACCCGTGCCACATGCCCACCGACACTCCTCCTCACCATCCTACTTCTCCCCCCTCGCCTTATTCCTCTCTCTCCTGCGTTCCCGCTCCGCCTTCCTCGCCTGGTTAAAGCTAGGCGTAAGCCCCTCCTCATCAATCTTCGCCTTCACCAAACTCTTCTCATCCACCTCGTCCAACAGAAAGCGTCCCATATTGCCTTGCCTCCACTTCTGAATCATCCACAACGACGTCGCTTCTGTATCTATGACCCCGCCCTTGCCCAATCTACCAGTCTTCTTCGCGATCTCAGTAAGGAGCCCGATGATGTCATTAGTAGGCGACGCGTATTCGGAGTATAGCGACGGCGACTGGAGGTTCAGGTGGTAGAGCAGGTAATCTGCGAGCATAACGGGCGCAATGATGGTATCCTTGACGGAGCCACAGAGTGCTAGTTTCATCATGGCTTCTGCGTCGGGGACATACGGGATGAAGACACCGGGTGTATCGAGTAAATATACACCTCCTCCAACGCCCTGAAGCTTCTTCTTCGCCGCTGCCTCCGCTGCTTCCATGTCGTCTTCGCTCGGTATGATTTTCACGCCGCTGCTGCTTACTTTGCGCGTTACACCCGGTTGTGCGCCGGTGGCTGCGACTTTGCCTCGACCGATTCCTTGGGCGCGCAGGGCGTTGAGGAGCGTGGATTTACCCACGTTGGGCATGCCTACTACCATGACGCGGTGGCCGACTAGCTTCCACCTCTTTTGCGCATGTTCGCGCAGGATATCCAGGAGCTTGATCACGCTCTTCCTTCCACTAATCTCGCCCTCTGCTTCTTTCCCGTTCCGCACAAACATTGTCGTAGTAGGGTGATGCCATTTCGCAATGACATCTTCGTTCCGATTATCGCGCGAGCCACCGCCCAGATCCCTCTTCGTATAAACAATAACTCGCTCTTTCCCTTCCAGCGCATCTTCGAATAGAGGGTTGCGCGAGGTGAGTGGGACACGATAGTCGCGGCATTCGATTACTAGGTCGATGGAGGAGAGGAGGGATTTCATCTTCGCCAGGCCGGCTTTGTGGTGGCCCAGGAAGTAGGACCGGGGCAGCGATGGGATTTGCGGGAAGGCATGGCGGGGGATGAATGACATCGGTTACATTGGTGTTGTGGTGGAGGGGAAGATGTGGTGGAAGTGGAGGATGGAATTATTTTGGATGCGAGTCAGATGATAGCTGCGCCTTGGCGAACATGACTGGTGTGAATGTCGGCGTCTGGTCTCGCAATTGCCATGGCTCGCACACCTATGCATCGCACTTCTAAATCCATCTATCTGCATCTGTCCTATTACCACATGGATTTCAATAGCGTCGCACCTGCTACCAGTATCCCTTGCAGCTCCAGGTCAGCTCATTCATGTCGTAAAGAGAAGGATAGCAGGCCCGTACGATCAAGACCCGAAAGCGCCACCCTCCCAGTGAACTGAAAAGTACGCTCCCATGGAATCCTTACCGTCTGCAGGGTCAATCCGTTTCAGATCTCCTGCTTCCTGAATCCTTCGAGCTTACGATCGACTCTGTGACCATAGTGGCGTAGTCCCAGGTAGGAATATGCTGTCAGCATCGCTTCTCCGTTGACGGGTATTCCGCGGAATACCCGCGGTATGCTTGGCACCCACCTGCAGACATACCTCATGTGACCAACCATCTTCCTCCCCAGTCTAGAGAATATGGTTCTTGATTTCTTGCCACTGTTCTCTCATTGCGATTGTCTACCAGGATTTCAAGAAACGTCATGCCAGCTGCCGGCGAGCGAGAACGTTCCAATCGCAAAGGACAGTACTCCTGTAACTTCTGCCGGTCGCGCAAGATTCGCTGTGATCGACCACTGCCATGCACAAGTTGCAGGTCGCGAGGAAAGACGTGTCAATTCGATCCTACGCCAGCGGCACGCGAAGCTCAAGGCCCTCAGACACCAGTCTCGATCGGGGCTTCGCTCACACAGCAACAGCCACATGAGAGCATCCAGACACCTTTATCTTCAACCGGAAGACCTGGCATGTTGGCTGAGATGGTTGCACTCCATATTCGTGTGCAGGAGCTGGAAGAACGTATCGCACAAGAGACTACCTTTCCTCTGCAGGCCGGCAATGACGACAGCGAAGGCGTTCGAACGGCCTTCGATTCTGAGCCCGTTCGAGTCGAAATCGAGATGAACCAACCCTCCAATGTCCAAGAAACGAAAGACATGGTAGAACATCTCGAAGGCGTCTCCATGAGTCAGAGCTCTTTCGAACTGTCTACCACAAACCATGTTACCTTCAAGATCGGTCAGATCCGCACAATACCACCAAAACTGACTTACACAACGCAACTCGGTAGACTAACACCATGTATATGGCTCCCGCTAAAGGAAGAAGCCACCATACTCCTCGACATCTACATCACCGAGCTCAACTATATTCAACACGTAACGCACACCCCTTCTTTACCAGCCGTCCTGAACGAAACATACCGTCCAATCGAAAGCGGTGAGCCTGTTCATCCCAGCAAAGTCGTTTTACTGCTAAGTATCATCGCTCATACAACGCATGTATGGAGTATGCCGGACGGACTGAACAGAGAACGTCCCCTATTCTTGTCCTCGACCCAAGCCCGCTCTCAGACGTCCACTTGGATTAAGGCCACATATACTGTACTCGAGACATTGCAAGAGGGGCCCTCACTGGCTCTGGAGGCTATACAAGGCATCATAATCTTGTCATACGTCTTGTGCAACATAGAAGGTGTATCGCTACGATATCGCTCCTTAATATCAACTGGCTTGTTGCTATGTCGGGAAATGGGTCTTCACCGGATCGACCATGTATTCAATGCCGATGCAGCCCAGACACTCAAAGCAGAGGTTGGCCGCCGAGTGTGGTGGTACCTAACTGCAACGGATTGGTACGTCTCTCCTCGAGAATTCGGTACATGGAAGCTACAAAGCAGACTAACCACTTCACCCAGGCTCCTCGCAGCGCGATACGGCGGACCCAGCGGCGGCATCTACCAAACCAACCCTCTCCACTTCCACGTAAACAAACCCCTGAACATCAACGACATCGACCTCCTCGCCACCGGACCCCAACCCTCCCTCCCCCTCTCCCACCAAACAGACATGTCCTACTTCCTGCAGCGCATCCGGCTCGCAGAAATCTCCCGCACCCTCGTCGACCAAGTCACCTCCGACCCTTTCCAACGCTCCGCCCACCTCATGACCATGGACCACCAACTCGTACAACTAACGCACGAAACACCCGCGTTCTTCCTACTAGACTACTACGACAATATCTTTTCCTCTGAGAAGCCAAACCACGTCTTCATCCAAGCCTACTTCCTCAACACGCTCATCCACACTCAGCGCTGTAAATTGCATCTTACTACGCTGACACGTCCGTCTGCGTCGACGGGTACCTCAACGACGCCTTCGTCGCGCACTGCGTGTCTGTACTCCGCCCGGCAGCTTATATACCTCGAGACGAAACTACTGCAGTCGCGGCACCCGTTTGCGAGACGGCCCCAACGGCCTCCGGCGGGGCTGTATAGTATATTCATCGCTACCATCGCTTTGCTCATGGATGCTTGTGTCAATAGGTCGGGTGAAGTACATGCTGAGCTGCAAGAAGACCGCGATCTAGCGAAAGGGTTGCGTATGATTGCTGATGCGAGGGATGATTCACTGGCAGCGGCGAAGTTATATGAGTCGCTCATGCAGATTTTGGAGAAGTATCGGGATGCTGGGGATACGGGAGAGAAGTACGGAAGTAGTGTGGGTGGCCAGAGTGCGGTGGAGTCTTTGCAAGATTTGCCCCCGGATAGATTCGGGGAGCAACAGCATTCTTCTCATGTGAATGATGCGATACAGCTTGATTTGGTGGATTGGGATGACTTGTTCTCGAGTGTTTCTTCCTCGCCGTTCTTTTAGTCTGGAGTGGAATGTAGTGGAAGAATTCTGGTGGGAATAGCACCAATGTATTATGTACCCACTGAGATGAATCAGATGGAGTAAACGAAAAAGAGCCAGCGAGGTATTTCCCAAGTACTAGACCGTAAGCTACCAATGACTGAGGCGCAAAAAGAAGATGGAATCACATCAAACGATGCGAAATATGAACAGCGTATGGATATCATATAAGAAGAGAGCAAGAGCAGTTTCGTGGCCTTGGGCCCAACAATCATACTTCAACTAACGAAACGACACTAAACAATACAAACAGAATCATGCTTTGACAACATCATCAACCCAGCGCAGTCCTCCTCCTTTACTCCGACAAGTCAGAGACAACTCAGAGATCACGCAGCTGTTGGCGCTTTGAGTAGAAGGTGGTGTAGGGCGTGGGCGCAGATCTTCCGACGACAGTGACCGTGTCGCAGGGTGGCTCGGGGGCGACGGTGACCGTATCGCAAGGTGGCTCGGGGTCAACGAAGACGGTTGTGGTTGTGATGGAAACAGGTACGGGGGTGGTGGTGCAGGGTGGCTCAGGGTCGACGTAGACGGTTTTTATGGAGTAGGGTTCGGTGGTGCAAGGTGGCTCGGGGGCGGCGATTATGGTTGTGGTGACGGCTGCAGGAGGGAACTTATGAGTGACGGTGACCATGGCAGGAGCCGAGATGGTGGTGATAGTAACCACGGGTTGAGAGCCAATGACCGTGACGACGGACGGAGGAGCGACGGTGACGATAGCGGGAGGATAAACCGTGGAGGTGCTGAAGATCACAGAGACAGTAGAGTAAGGGAGTTCGACAGTCTTCGTCTCTGGAGTGGCGTCGATAAACTGCACTTGCTGCTTCGGGGTGCACTTCTTCATGTCTTCCTTGGGTTTTTGGATTCGGACTTCTGATCCCTTCGATCCCCGCTCCTCCCATTCAGCATCTGCGCACATCTCTGTGTTAGGATACCACGGGTGGGTTAATCTGACGGCCCTGTGGAATGAGCGGCGTTCTAGATCGGCTTCCTTCTGGCCGAGCGTAATGGTCTGCATTGGCTGAATTGGGTTGCCGCCGATGACCGTTGTAATCGCATGCCCAGCTGTTACTGTAACGACTGACATGCTGGTGATCGCTGCACCCTGGGTTACCGTGACATCTGGAGTATGTGTGACGGTGACGGTTTCGTTGGGATCAGGTACCGGGCCCTCGCATGAGACGGGGTTGTTCGGTCCAGAGCGGCACTCGAACTTCCACAGATTGTCATGAGCCTTGGCGTAGCATTCGTAGCAGATGACCGCCTGGGACCAAGGGTGCTTCATCCATACACCAATCCGAGGGCCCTTCCACTTGCTCCTGCGGCGTGGCTCCAGAGCATGGGCCTCGGGCTGAGGGTCGGAGCGACGCTCGCGCGGGTAGTGGCTGTCTTCGACATAGGCGGTTACGGTATGGGGCCGAGAGCTATGAAGCACGGTTCCGGTATGCATCGGGGTGATAGTCTCTATGGAGGTCGGCATGATAGTCACCATGGAGGTGGGGACGGTCCTCTTCGTAGAATACAAAGTCTTGGTGGAAGTCGTCAAGATAGTAGAGACGTAGTTGGTAAAGGAGCTGCCGGCGTGCATCCATGTCGTGAGATAGCCAACAACCCCAACCTCGGTGACCACGGTGGAAGTTGTGATCGGCTGCTGATAGACGGTAATGGTATTGTTTGGCTGCTGATAGACAGTAACGGTATTCTTCGCTTGCTCAATTACCGTAATGGTGGTTGTGGCCTGTTGTTCAATTACCGTAATGGTGGTTGAGGCCGGTTGTTCAATTACCGTAATGTAGGGAGTTGAGATCGGCTGCGGAGCTACGGTAACGATGGTGGGTGGTGTCACCACGACGGTAGTCGTAAAGTTCTCTGACTTCATGTCTCGACATCCAAACATTATGGAGAGAAACTGTTCGTCTGGTGACAAGCACTGATCGATGGCCCCGGGGAGTTCTTCGGCAATTGATGGGTAGCCTGAGCAGCCGTGATGCTTGTATGTGGCGACCCAGCACTCTTGCTGTCCGAGGTTGATCTGGTTGAGCCACTCCTGGTGCTTGTTTGTGGAAGGCCTCATGCTGTTGGCGCCGCTGACAATGTCGTGACACTTGTTAACCTTGAGGTCCTCGTTGCCGCCGATAGTTGGTCCATTGCAGTCGTCGCTGGTGAAGAGGTACGTGCGTATTTCGCTCTTGATCTTGGCCTGGGCGAGGGGAGATAGGAGTGCGAGGACTGCACTCGCGACGACGAGGGTGGAGCGAGGCATGGTCGGGGAGCTCTGCTTTGCGTCAATGAAGGTTCATACTGTGTCGGAAAGAAGAGGAAAGAGGAAGGTGAGAAGACATACCGGCAGTGGTATTCAACCGCAGCTCAGTTCGACGATGACGGCTCAGATCGGTAAGAAGGATCGACTATGTGCGTCAGCACTTGTTGATGAAGAGCAAGACGAGGCGAGCTACTCAACCAAAAGGCAGGATAGGATTTCGACTGAGGTTGCAGTTCAAAGGTATGATGTGACCCTGTGGTGTGTCAGTATACATGCCCTGAGCAGCATCGGATGGAAGAGGAAGTCGAAGGGGTTCGAGTGCTGGCATGGTGCAGACCAAGGGTCAGGACGAGAAATAATAGAGACACGTACCAACTGAGTAGAGAAGTGGTGCAAGAGAAGCAACTGTCCAATGGTACTGTTGCCGTTGAGTGGTTGGGTGAAGAAGAAACGGAGAGACGGGAGAGGAAGTGGGATTATAAGGGTCCCGGAGACGCGCTAAAGCCAGATCTCGGACATCATCACCGAGATATGCTTGAAGAAGGCAGCTTCCGTGGGTTGGGGAAAGAAGATGGTCCATCTCGTGTGGTTGCTGCGCTTTGCGTGGCGGAATGACGAAGTTGAGGCGTCTGCGGACGGTTGAACTGGGCAGGAAGTTAGCAAGGAAGGCAGTCGCGCCAAACGCTATAGCAAGACAGGCCAGAATGCTGCACTGATGAGGGAAGAACCTCTGTCAAATACGGCAGCGACAAGTCCATGGTGTCATCCCATCCCAGAAGTCTTCTTCGGTCCCTAGGGATAAGCAATTGAGCGGTATCGATTGTTTTGGAGGTGCCTCGATGAGATGAGATCGCGGCGGAGGAAGGCATGAAAACGGTGAGAGTGGCTGTTGGGAAAGTGCGGTTTCGACAGCGATCACAAGGAAGGAGCGAACCAGGTACGCTCGACAGGAACCCTACATGAAGTAAGTCTAGTGAACTCAGATGAAAGATGAGTATAGTGTAAAAGCGTACCTGAACCTGGAGCGGGGACCTTGTCGAAATCCATCGATCGAAGTGAAGCCACATGCAAAGCCCAAAGATGAAGCACTCCTCACAAACCGATAGCAATACTTCCCATTCTTTGTCTAACCACCAACCATACCAACCCAACCCACACCCGCGTATCCAACGCCCAAACGCCTCACGCCTCCCTCAAACCCTCTCTCACCACTCCCCCCACTCATCATCCTTCTTCGCCCCTCCACCACCCATCCCCCCACCAGCACCCCCCTTCTTCATAGCACTCGTCCCAATCCCACTCGGCTTCTTCCCAGCCATGCCCCCAGCCGCCCTAGCATCCCCCGCACTCCCAAACTCATCCCAAAAGTCCTGTTTATCCTTCGCCGGCCCCGCTGGCGCCGCACCAAAGCTCTCCCAAAAGTCTTTACGTTCAGGTTCGCGCTGACCCGACAACGGGGCCCGAGAAGAGGAAGAAGAAGAAGGATGTGCAGAGTCGCCTCCTTCGACGAAGCGCGAGAATTGCGTGTTTGCGTTTGCGACGCCGGATTGGAGGGTTTGGCCGAGGGTGCCGGCTGTGGTGCGGGCTTGGGTTGCGAGGTCTGCTTCTGCGAGCTGTAGCATGATGTGTTAGTCGTTGTTGTGGGTTATAGGGTTCTTGGGAGGATGGAAGATGTACCTTTGCCATACCAGGCTTCACCCAGCCTTCATACCCCGTTTTGCCTACTTTACTCACGCTTGCGCCTAGCCAGCCAAAGCCCTTGGTAAGCGCCGCAACAGGGTCTTTCTGGAAGTCGTCCAGCGCAGGAGGCGCACCGGGCTCATCGTCCTTCTTCCACGCATCTGGCTCGCTGCCGAAGCCGCCGTATTTTCCGCCCTGGTTCGGCGCAACGCCGTCGGGTCTGTTGGCGTTCTCCTGGCCCATCTTAGCGAAGTAGGCTTCGTTCTTCACTTTCTGGCTAGACATGGCGTTGGTGCCGAGGGCGGGGGAACCCGAGCGCTGGAAACCTGCGTCGTTGCTTCGTGTCTTTCCGAGGGGTGTCTGGCTTCGGCTTCCGGCTGCGCTGGCGCGTCCGCTCAAGGGCGCGCCCATACCGGCTGTAGATACATTGTCCTTTTTGGGTAACCGCTTGGGTAGATTTGCCTTGTCGAACTCCCTGTCCTCGACCTTACAGCTGAGTCTCTCCTTCCACTCGTCGCCCGCTTCCGAGTCGTATCGCTCTGATATGGATGAGGCCTCGAATGTGCGTCCGTCTTTCGTATTCGATGGATGTGTGTTGAAGAAGTCTTGGAAGGGCTTGTTGCCGCCGGCAGCCATGCGCACGAGTTCCGAGCCCTTGAAGGCGTCCATGGTGATACTGCGGATGAAGGAGATGTGCACACCCAGACCGCGGTGCACACCCGAGCAGGAGAGGCACATGAAAATACCGAGCTTGGGCGAGGCCTAGGACAGTTCATCTTAGTAGGTGTAGGCGGTGATCGCGTGCGCAGGTGGAGGAAGGGCGGTTGCATACCCATTGCGGACTCGGCGCATTGCAGTCGACGCACTTGTTGTTGTCGTTCGTCTTTTGTATCTCAAGTAACTGCGTACGGAATCGATCAGCCTCTGTCATATGCGCATGCTCGACTCATCACCTGTGCTGCCTTCACGCCGCAATTGACCCCTAACGCCCCCCTCCTTCAGCTGTGGAAGGCGCAACGTACCTTACTCCGCGTCTCCGGATCCACCTCCCACATTTTGCTCATGATGGGCAACCGAGAAACTGTGCGATTGCAGTGGAATAGAAGGTGAGGTCTGGTCCCAGGTTTGGGGAACGTGGACGGGGTCGGTGTTGCGGTCGAGATTCAGGGTACGTGGGCCTAAGAACGCGTGGCGCGTGTGCAGTTGAGCCTCACAGGGATCTGCGTGATTTGGGTATCCACGCAGTCAAGTGCACCAAATCTGATGCTGTCGCTTTTGTCGCGACATCATTTCTATACTTTTTCATCTGCCTCAGCGGACATATCATGGATATGTTGAAAATAGTGGCACCGTAAAATCGTGGAATAGGCTACTTCGGTAGTATTCTTGTGATGCATGCTGAGCAGCATGTACGCAGAAAGAGAATCAGCAGTCTGTATTGAAAAAGCAAAAACAAAGCTATCCTCGCAGTAGTGAGGGGCGCAACAAGCCTGCATTCAACTACACTTATTAACCTCAACCAACTCCGCGTTGCTGAATACATACGTCCTCGCATGCTACCTAATATCCTACTCCCATATACAAAGAAAGCGATACATCCTTTCTCTCCCCAAAACCCCACATCCCTTACTCAACCTTCCAATCCACCGATCCCTCAATCCATCATCGCCATCACATCAACTCACATCCCTCTTGGCGGCCCCCTCCCCGCAAGATGCTAATCTCATCCTCGATATCCTGCCTCGTCAACGGGCGACCTCCGCTAGGTTGAGGATGCGAGGCTGGCGGCGCATCGTCATCATTGTCGTCATCGTTATCAGACTCTTCCGCCTCGTTTTCCTCGTCATACTCATCTTCCTCCTCCTCACTGTCATACTGATCTTCCGGGTTGAAATGAGGCATACTAGGTAACTTGAACATGCGCTCCTGAGCCATCATTGTTCTCATCTTTTCCTCGATTTCTTGTAGGGTCAGGTGGCTAGCGCTGGGTAGGGGTTTCAGGGCTGGTGGCGGATCGTCGTTGTCGTCGTTGTTGTTGTGCGAGTCGTCTTCATTTTGCTCGGCATCGCTATCGTTCGACCCTTCTTCTCCATCTTCATCATTATCTTCTTCCTCATGTTCCTCATCCCCGCCCTCCGGTCTATAACCAGGCATACCAGGCAAATTCAAGATCAGTCCCTGACCCATCATGATCCTCATCTCATTCTCCATATCCTGCATGGTAAGCGGGCGGCCGGGGCCAAATTCAGTGTTCGAGCCTTCTTCTCCATCATCTCCATCCCCCTCATTATCGTCGTCTGTTGGCTGCATACCAGGCATACCCGGCATTCGTCCCTGAGCCGCAAGAATGCCCATTTCCTCCATGATATCTTGCATATTCAGTGGTCGGCCACCCGCACTGGGATTAGGAGTCTCGTCGTCATCCTCTTCATCTTCCCACTCGTCCCCATTGCTGTCTTCCCCGTCCCCATTGTCATCATCCCCATCATCATCACCATCTACCTCTTCCTCATCATCATCTCCCCCTTCCTCTTCCTCATCACTATCCCATACATCGCCATTCAACTCATCCCCCCTATACGAGCTCCCAAACCGTGCCACCCACGGGTTCTCCCTTTCACCCTCAAAGTCCTCCAGAAGATGCACCCAGACATAGTCTTCTTCAATCTTGCTCGAAGCACCAACGCGCGTTTTAGTGTACCAACGTTCAGAGTCGCCCATGGTATCATGTTCCGATACAATCTTTACCCCTACCTGCGCAAACGCAGACTGGAGGGCAGCGATGCGGGTCTGGCACGGGAAAGTGCCTAGTTGCGGGTGCCAGCCAAAGAACGTAATGGTTCCGAGATGAGGGAGGAGAGTTTTTATAGCAGAGCCCAGGGTGAGCAAGACATCGAAGCAGGTTTCCGTCACGTCGTGATAACCCGTCTTGGTTGAGATGTGCAGGTTTTTGAGATGCGTGGGCAGGTTCCCGAGGTTTCGTTGTAGCGACTCGGCGAGGGATTCCTTGGTAACAGAACGGCAATGGAGTTTTCGTAGAAGACGGGCGTGTGCATCTGGAATGTCTCCACGTTCTCCAAGCCGCGCAGTTGTTCAAGCGCGCCTGGGTTCATCACTAGACGGTCGTCGTCGATGGCCATGTTATTGAGCGACGCACAGTGGTTTCCGATGGCTTCGAAGAGCGTTTGTACGTCTCTGTTGTTCTTCTTGACCGAACCCCCGCCGCAGCCGGGCTTGTAGTCGATTACTCTGAGGTTTTTGAGGCTTTTCAGCAAGCGGGCGAGATCGAGCATGTCGGTGGCAGTGTGAGAGATTTCCAAATGCTCCAGATTCGATCCTTCTTTTTCTAGTCGTGCCCAAACGAGGTTGATGGCTTCCAACTCGGCGTCCTCGTGTAGGGGGGATTGCAGTAGACAGTCAATGAGCAGCGTTTTCATCTTCGGCAGCAGAAAAAGCGGAAGGAGGTTTACAACGGTCGCTCCGCCATCGAGTATCACCTTTTGTAGGTTTGTGCCAATTTTACCGATCAGCGATTGCTTGAACCACATGCCTTCATATTCCCACTGCTTCGTGGAGATGCAAAGCTCCTTGACGTTCGGCGTAAACTACATGAACGTACTGAGATACAGGTCGCTTTCTGTACGAAGACGCATCCAGTTATTCACCTCCACCAGTTTCCCAGTGAGGAAGGTAGCATGTCGTGGCCACGTTGCAGGGAAGGGAAATCCCACTTTCTCCTTGATTTGATCGAACTCGGCTTCCGTGATCCAACGGGGGAACTCGAAGGCACCTTCATCATGGATGGGACTGTTCCACTTGATGTGTTGAACGCACCGCTGGAGATTGGGATTCGATGCAAGCGCTCGGATGAACGGCGACGTTTCCTGATAGTAAAGCTTATAACGGGAGTATATGATATCGTTGGCAATCGCATGCAGCTTTTTGTTCGTGTAACTGATGCTCCAAAGATCCTTGCGGTCATCGCGGAGCAACTCGACGATCTCGGCGAGGACTTCTGTTGGAAGTTTATCCATCCTGAGGTTTGAGAGGGCAATGGTGAGAAGTAATGGGTTGATGAGATTGACTTTGAGTTGAACGTGTAAGATGCGACAGGTCGTGCTGGGTGTCTCCTTTGTTAGCGCCTTGGCGGGACGCAATAAGGCCAGGGTTGATGATTCGGATCGCCGTTGACAAATGAACAGCAGGAACGAAAATCCTAAAACACAAATTGACAAGTAATTTCTAAATTCAAGTATCGAGTGGTGATGCAGCTACTCGCATTCACGTACGCGTAGCAGTCCCATCTCTTCCAACAAAACTAATCTACCAGCAAATCCCTGTTGCGACTCCGCCATCCCCATACACCATGACGGTGTGACCCATTAGGTGTGGCAAGGTGTGTCCCTTTTCTGCCGAGTGCCGTGAGGCCTTTCTGATGTTGTTCTTCTCCCACACCCCCTAAATAAGTATATACATTGCCGCATAACAGAGATCCAGCGAAGAAGGAGAAATAGTGTACACAGATGCTGGCGCCCATTAATGATGTGATCGAACCGGACAGGAGTGTCTCGAGTAGATGTGTGGCGTGGAGCCCCCAAAGACAGTAATGAAACAAACTAGACGGCCGTGCGTCGGTGCTATGGATTACGCCTGGTTATTTTGGATATGATGTTGTAGGTTCGTCAGTCGTAGCGCGGTGGTGACATCCAACTTTTTTGATGGTAGGTGTGCTCTGTGAATGTACGGAGTTTTTCCGGGTCGTGATGTAGTCGCACCCATTATCGAGTCCGCAGATGGTGGTTCAAGCTCTTCCCCTAGTTGACGTTCGGATCCGGGTTTCGCACGTTCAATTGTCGTCCGTAGTCTCGGCTGTCGTCGATACTTCCAAGACTTTCCCGGCTGGCGTTCGCGCCATGGAAGGTCAAAACAGCGGTTGGGTTGAGTCGCGAGTCGACTAGGATGGGTTGACTTAATCGGCGGCTCGACGGTGTAACGGGCGTGATCGATTCCTCGTCGTGGCGGCTTCGTTGCGAACCGAAGTTTGTAACAAGCTGGGTCGGTGACTTTTCGCTACGTCCTCCTAGCAGGCCGGCTCTGCTCATGGTGCTCACATTGCGCGAGATCCCAGCGGAACCACCGTCATGTCCGCCGTTTTGCTCGTCTTGCTGCCTCTTCCTCCGCCAGAGGACGAACAGTACACCACCTACGATGGCTAGCAGAGCGATGACACCGCCAGCAACACCACCGGCGATGGCTCCGACGTTGGGGCCGCTGTCATGACTGGTTTCCTCGGAGGCAGCCGCGGTCGGAGTGAAGACGACTGTTCTGGTAACGACACGACCACTTTCGGTCAAGACGGTTGGCGTTGTGACAGGTGCCATGGCTGAGGTCGGTTCATCGTCGGCTTCGGATTGAGTCGCAGATGGCTTTTCGGTCTGCTTGATGCGTTAGCTATGTGCTACAGACAGGATTGAGAGCAAATACAGTAGAAGAAGAAGTAGAAGACGGTGCCGTAGTGACCAGAGAGATGACAGTCTCCGGGTCAGGCGTCACAGTGACTGGTGGCGGAGCCGGAGCAGACTACCACGAAGTCAAACACCGGTCGCACGATAGAGTACGCATAGAAATCAAGAAAGCCAAGAGAGATGAAAGACAAGAAAGACGCGCGCGAGAGAGGAGGGGGAATACTAACAGTCGGGGCTTCTGTAGGTTTGTCTTTGGTCTTCGAAGGCTCGGCGGAGGACGTGGGTTGCGAGCCTCCGATGGTGCCGGATACCTTGCCGTCCATTTGGATATACATGAACAGGTTGTTGTCCTTGTCGCCGCACTTTTCGGCCGGGAAGCCAGGGCAGTCCTTCTGGCAGTCGCTGATATCGGCCGTCTCCCCGGGAGCGTAGTTGGAGCACCAGCAGTCGGTGTATTTTAGAACGGCAAAGGCATAGGTACCTTCCTCCTTGCAGTGGTTGGTGCAGTTGCCGTTGGACTGGTATGGCCATGTGTCTGAAGACGTTAGTTGTGGATCGTGGAGATAGGATTGACATGTCACTTACAGACATCATCATCGCTACCCGTGTTTAGACTGGAGCAATATGATTGCGTAAAGCCCTGTGCATTTGCGCGCTGGATGGACGATAGCAGAACGAAAAAGGCGAGGAAGCCCAGCAGCGTCGAGGCGAATCTATGCTCCATGGTGATGGATGTGTGAGGTTGTGGGTGGAGAGATCGAGGTCGCTTGTATAGGCGCGGTCTTTGTGCGAAGGTCTTGACAATGCTGTTTGTCCCTCGGTAGTGAATGGGCGCTTGGGGCGATGGGGACTTGGAACAGCGATTGAACGCCTCCGACGTCGTGAACGGGCGATGAAGCTGGTGATGGAGGTTGGGAGGGCCTCGAGAGGATTCCAAGTGGGGTCGATGGGTGGAAGTGGTGTGAGGTGGTACGGGCCTGTCGCTGGCAGAAAAGCGCCGGCTCGGTGGGATCGGCTACTGGGAGTGGGCGCGAGGTGTTGCTGGTATGCTTCACACTATCGTCAGCATCGCTGCCCGTGATGTATTGTCGGACGGGTGTCGCCGGTAGCACAGCTGGTGTGGAGAGGGAAGAGGTTGATGGCGATGCGGCTGTTGAGGATGGGAGCTGGTGGAGCTGCAGGACTTACCAGCGCTAAGTGAGGTCTGTGCTGGTGAATGGAGCACTTTCTGGCTAACTGATCTCTCCCGCTTTGGCCGTTAGTTCAAGAGTAGCCTCTTCCGCCTCTTCCGCACTGGCACTAGGTCTGACTCGAACCGCGGTACTCCCTGCACTGCCAACTCTGGGTTTTTGGTTGGCGCCCTGGGTGCTCCGCCGGGGTCGTGGGATGGCTGTGGGTGCTGAAACTCGACGATGGAGTCGTGTGGTCAAACGTGAAGCACTCGGCCTATCTCGTGGGCATGACGTGCTCTACCTCAGACACCTCGCAGATCACGACTCTTTCGATCGCGATAACGCAGCGGACACGACACACAAGCCGTCGGTGATTCGCAAAGCCGTCTTGGTGCTCCCGTGTCCAGTGTTACTAACGCGGACCCTTTCCCGGAACTGATATGTCTCGCGATAATCGATAAAGCGACCGTCCTGGGCAGTCGACACTACTCTGATCTGTACCAAACACCACACAAACGAATGTATAAGCGCACTTTCGATAACGAGTGTATGAAGAGAAAAGAGAGAGAATGTAATGGTTGGGTGCACAGCGCGGGACCTGCTGCATGTTTTGTCTTTTGATGCATGCTGATCCTCTGGCACAGGGCATACTAAACACCTCGGTGGCGTCGTATCGGACGCCTCCCTGTCGCTTACACCCAACCCAACCTGCAGCGACATCATCGCTACCTGCAGCCTGCAGTAAACAACATAAGCAGGTGTCCGCGCTATGTACCTGTTGTACCTGCAGCCCTGCTTACTGGCCGCTCTGCTATAGTCCAGGGTACAAGAAAGGCTATCCCCTCCGTGTACCTCCCACCCGCACCCTGAGTACAACCTGCAGAATTCATGCCTCTACCTGTGCGACCTTCCAAAACCAAGTTGAGGCTTGCCATCCCATGAAATGCGCAAGGCGCTTGGGCGCGCATGACAAAAAGCGCCGGCGCCCTCACGCCGTCGTCTAGCAACGGCGTTAAGCCTCATCACTCCCTCACCACTCAAGCGGCGCGCGAAGAGCACGGCGACGCGCCCGCGAATCGAAACGTGTCAGTCAACGGCACCTCGAAAACCCGACAACCAGTCTGCACGCCTGCATCTTCAATCAACATGAAGTCGCTTCCCCCTCGGAAGCTCACTCACCCTATCTCTCCTCATCTCTTTTACGAACCCTCCACTTCAGCCTAAACCCTCCGAGAATTGCCCAACACCACAGTAACCACACAAACACGCGCGCCGACCTTTAGCCAAACACAACGACGGCCCTACCCACCGCAGCGAAGATGCCGGCCAAGCACCCGCAAGCCACCGCTTGACCACGCGTCTTAGCCCACGCCAGTCCCAAAACACGCCAAACCTAAACGCTCAATTTCGCTAACCGGGCACCGCGCGCTCGCGTCTGTCTCCTGAAAAAGGGCTATGACGCATGCATGGCCAGCCACCACCAGCCCAGTCCAGAAGGAGCACCCCTGGGTATCGATAGTGCGATCGACAGGGGAGCAGGGTAAGCCGTTGCTGCGCATTTTGTATTAAAACTGGAGCGCAGGCCTGGCGTGTGCGGCTCGTCAAGGGGCGCAGATGAAGATGTTCACTCGCTCCAAACCTGGTACTGCAACCCATTTCGTCATTCCGCGGGACCAAAGTTGGTAACGAGTGGGTTTTATTCGTGGATGCCTTGATGTGCGGCTGGCATCACTGGGTAGGATCGATGTGCTGGCATGTTGATCCGTGGGGAAGTGTGAGATTTTCTTTGATGTGCTGACGACGAGATGAGTTCCCGCTCAGGGTCGATGATCTCAGACTCAAAATACACCTAGTCGACGATCTGATGCGTGGATGTTGGGGCGCGATGCTTACTGAGAGATTGACTGCTATATTCGTCCGTCCGCCTTTACGACCAAGCTGGACGCGGAGGTAGGTCCTTGGACAAGTCTCTCAACGTTTGGTGAGATTGCAGCACCGATACCTGATGATCTCTCTCGATGATACTTTTTGCTTTTGCTCAGCCACTACAGCCTTGACACAAGGTTCATTCCGTTTTGAGCTATCGAACCTGGTCCAAAAGTCGTTGAGATTCGATTTCGATTCCCGGTGTTATAGTGCTCCGAGGTATGGAGTGGGCCGCGCGCTATACAACAGCTGGGATACTTAGTGCTGCCCGAGCGTGCCTGCACACCTCAGTGTCAGCCTGGTCCAGCATCACAACGACTGTGAACAGGCGTGGTATACATGTTTGTTTTCAGGAAAATGTTGAAATGGCTGAAGCTCTGGGTAGGAATGTAACTGTTTGGCACCGAACGCTGACAGAGAGGTTTGCCTTTGTAGGTGATGTCTTACATACAACATAGATGTATACATTGTGCCACGTACTCTCTGAATTATACCTAGCACTCCTCGGAACAGACGTATACATCATCTGCTATCATGCATATATTGCATCATACATTATACTCAGACGCATACATACCCTTCTATTGCGTCAGTCTACGAACCCGCGGAGACCAAGTACATCCTCATCTTCAGATACGCTGCTGATGAGCGGGGCTCTCATTCAAGCTTCTGTTGCTGCTCCGAAAGCTTCCATGTACATGACACTGGTGTAGATGACTTCGAGGAATGACAGGCGCAAAGGATGCGTCCAGGGACGTTTTACCAAGTTACTCACGGTGCGAATCTCGTCATTGTAGACCTCAACAGTTATACGTGAACGAGAATAATCAAGGGAACGCAATGCAATACATGGCCGGGTCACATACGCTTGAACTGCAACTTGATGTGAGATGTGCCAGTCTCACTACTTTACTTGACGAAGACGCTCGTTCTGAAAGGGCTGTATACGTTACCAAGAGACGCTCTGATAGATACATCGCCGTTAGATGGACACGACTTTAAGCAAGGGATCTGTTGGATGCCTCCACGGCAGCGTCAGAAGGTACAACTCATAAATTCAGCGTCCTCGTAGCCCGCAAAATCGTTCTTCAAATTCCACGTCTGCCAGTCTCTACATCTCCTCTCTACAACTTACTCTTCTTCCCGCCCTTAACCCCCGTAACACTCTCCCCACTAAGCATGAAATCAGGATACTCGAACCCACCCGCAAAGCCCGCGGTATGCCACGCGCCACCATCCACAACAAGCGTCTCGCCGTTAACAAAGTTACCCGCATCCGAGAACAGATAGATAGTCGCATCGGCAATCTCCTTGACAGCTCCAAAGCGACCAGACGGCACGGCCTTAGCAACCTTACTCTTAGCATCCGACTTCGACAGCCTCGCCATACCCTCAGTCTCAGCAATAGGTCCAGGAGCAATGATGTTAGATGTGATGCCCCGGGGGCCTTGCTCAATAGCGACAGACATGGCCATGGCGTCTACACCTGCTTTCGCGACCGAGACGTGGGATTGCATCGGTGTGCCAGTGTAATGCAGTGTAGCGCTCACAAAGATAATACGCCCACCCGTCCCATTAGCCGGCAGCGTCGTCCCATCCGTCCTATACCTCCCCGCCGACTCCTTAAGATACGGCAGCGTCGCTTTAACCGTATTATAACTCCCCAACACATCGATATCGATAACGCTCTTCATCGCATTCGGACTGATCTGGTCGATGGTCGCGAGGAAATTGCCGGCTGCGCCTGCGATGACGAAATCCAGGCTCCCGAGTTCGCGAGCGCAGCGGTCGGCGGCTTCTTGCAGCAGTTCGGGTTTGCGCACGTCGATGGCGCCGATGCCGAGGACGCGGGCGCCGGGGCGCGCGGTTGCGATGTCTTTGGCCATGTTTTCGGTTTTCTCCACGTTGCGCCCGATTATGCAGGCGTTTGCGCCGAGGGCGACCATGGCGCGGACTTGGGCGGAGCAGATTGTACCGGCGCCGCCGGTGCAGAAGACGACTTTGTTGTCTGGGTGGTTGTCAGCTTTTGATGGAGAGGTTGGGCTGTTTGAGCAGTGGTTATAGGCCAAGTCTGCCTATCTACGCCTACGTGAGACATACCAAAGATGCCATCCCTCCAGACATTGCTCATAAACTGGTACTTCTCCATAGGCATGGTGCGCGGTGTTTTCCAGGCAGGTTCTGTGCTATCGGGGTCGTCGGACTGGAAGCGTGCAGGACTAGCGGTGGTGAGTGAGCAGGTGATGACGTTGGGAGTTATCGTCGAATGCGGAGATCAATATGGAGTGGAGTATAAGTAGCTGAGGTTGCTCACGTCGTGTGAAAGTTACGGCCGCAAGCCCCGGCTGATGCGTGCAGGATACGCGTTGGTGTTGTAAGCCGAGGTACGACTGGCAAGATTACTCTCTTGATGCTTGCGATCCGCCCTGGGCGATACATTGCGCGCATCGAATACATTTTATAGGTTTGGAAGACCGTGCAGAGTATGTACGGTAAGGAGCGTCCTGACAATGAATCAACATCTTTCTTTCTATAGGCCGTGGACGTATGATTACTGATTGACATGTGCTCTTCTCCGCATTCTGGAAGGGGAAGCTTGGGCCATTCCGATTTCTCCGAAAGATGACAGCCTGCTCCGTATGATGCCCGTAGCATCTCCGCAATCTTCCAAGCGCTGCATGCACGTCAACCTGCATTGCCAACAGATAACTCCACGACAAAGAACCCGCGCGATAGACAGAGCAATTCGTTGTCGCAAAAACCTCACGGTACCATCACAATGGCCGCCCAAACAGTCTCAATATGTAAATTCGTCGGAACAATCACCCTGGGAATCGCAACTGTAAGTCACCACCCGCCACTTCACGCCTCCAAGCTCCCCGCATGAAGCTATCAGAGCTCCAACCCTGCCCTCCCTATACCAACCCCCTCAACAAACACCAAATACACTGTCCAGATACTAACACCCCCTCAGGGCGTCTCAGCAACCGTCTCGACCGTTGCCCTCCCCTCCCTCCTCGCCCTCCCCACCGCCATAAACGCCCGCACCTCCCTCATCTACCTCACCACCAAATCCACAAACCTATCCTCCTACCTCCGCCACATGACAACCTTCACCCTCTTCTCCGCCTACTGTCTCTCGCCCGCCCGCTTCCGGCACCCATACCTACTTTACACATCCATTTTCTCGTTTGTGTCTGGACCCGGTGTGGACTATGCGGTTGGTCTGACTGAGGGCGGCAATGAGAAGAGGCAGGTTATGGAGTTGGAGGCGCAGGGTGATGAGGTGAATGGCGAGCAGGTGCGCTTGGCGGTTGAGCGGAAGCAGGTGGTTGAGTGGGTTAAGACAGGGTTGGCGGGCGTCGCGTTTGCGATGCAGGTTGTTGGGCTGTGGGGGGATGGCGCGTAGAGGGGTGTTATGTGATACCTGCGGAAGAATGATCATAGGGGTTTGCGTGGGGGATCATGGTGGCTGTAGGAGATGGGTGGTGGATATACGATACTGGTGTTCTTTGAGTATGGAGTAGGGGATGCGGATTGCTGTTGGTGTACTGTATGGTTTTGACTCTCCTTTCATCTTTCGCGTGCTGGATATATACACATTTTTGTTAGCGACTATTATTATATCCCTCTCAATTCCTCTTAACAGACGAAGATCTCAGTGCACATTGGAGGGGCGTGAATGATTGCAGCGCGTCAGAGGCATCGAGCTAGAGATATCGAGTGGACGACCGGTTTGATCACATATACCATGAACTGGGGGCAAAGGTATGCTGGTATCTTGAATGTGGTTCATGTTGCTATGACTAGGTATGTAAGAAAGATGGCTCGATGACGAGAAACTTTTGCGCAGGACAAACCGAACCCAGAGAGTGGGCTCAAAGTCGCCTGCTGACTAGAACGAAAGAAATCGTGAAAACAACCGCTGCTGTCGCTGAGAGAAGGCATCGTGAACGCAGGAAGGAAAACAAGAAGCACACGCCCTAACTGATACTGCGCATACGCCTGCACGGCGATCGCGGCATGATTCCAATGTGAAAGGCTACCATACAGCATGGCTCCGACTTTTGTCTAACAGAGCATCTGAAGTAGAGAAAGAGTGAAATGCATCCGCCATCGTCCCGTTTTCGCGTAGACACTTTGCCGAATTTGTGGGAACCTTGGTTGACGGGTAGGTGATCCAAAGTTGGTCCTGGAGGGTATAGCCAAGATACGTGGACTTCACTCCAGCTTCATCCGCTTGGAAGAAGTCTCAGTTCCTCGCTTCGGCTTATGCTTGGTAGATCCATTCTGATCGCTGTTCTTCTCGAGATTGACCGCCTTCGTGTAAAGCGCTTGTAAATCAATGTCCTGATCCTTGGCATCAGAGTATTTCTCAATGGGGACAAGAGCTGTCTCGTCATCTGACTTCATAATCTTGGGGAGGAGGCGTTGTAGCTGGAGAGCCTTCTCCTCGAGTGTGGGGATGAGCTCTTTCAGGTCTGCGCGTATGGCCTCGCCAACCGCTGTCATGGGATAGTCGATTGGGGCTTGCTCTCGAAGAGTGTTGCTAAAGTGATCCATGAGGGTGCTGATTTCTCCGAAATGTTTGTCGATAACCCGGTTCATGTTGGTGACAACTTCTTGCTCAAAGTACTCAATGGTGCGGTCCACGAAATGGTCTCCAGGCGTTATCATCAATTCTGCCAATAGGTCTTTCTGGAACTTTCCAACTGGTGTTGCGTACTTCTGTTTCGTCGTGGTTCCAGCTCGCTTGGGTTGATGAAGTGGGGGCCGCGCATTGAAGACCTGGTCGAAGATGCCGTCTGTGATGCAAGAGACAAGGCTGTTACTGCACTCATCTTCCATAGTTGCCCAGTACAGAGAGCTCTTCGCAGTCTTCTCAACCTCTTCCATAAGAGCTTTCATTTTGAGTCCCAGTTTTGCACGTATCTTTTGCAACTTGCTTTTGGCCCTTTCGATGATCAATATGTTCGCCGCGGAATCATCTATTTCCATCATTGCTTTCTGGTAAATGATGTCGATAGAATCCCGTAATGCCTTTTTCAGGGGTTGTGTTTGTTCATTGTACGTGAGGCACCAGTTCCGGAATCCGGGAGCGAGGGTGGTCGCGAGGTGCTTGTTCCAATCGCACCCATTTTTGAGAAACACGGACTTAGAGGCGCCGGGGCGAACTAGACCTCTTGATCGAAGGACAACTTTGAAGGTCTGGGTAGGGATTACGGACCAACGCTTGACCAAGACGGAATCGACCTCCTTCTTGTAACCTTTCACGTCGACTCGGACTTTGACGATGCTTTCTTTGAAGACCTTCTTGGCAACCGCCTTTGCTTGGTTTACTAAGTCGGCCAAAAGAGGTCCACGGAGCTTGTCGAATTCGTCAGCGATCGTGCGGAACCCAGCATCGCGGTCTGACTGCGTCGAGACCCTTCTTACTTTCTCCACGAAAGCAGGAACTCCGGCTCTGATGTGAGTATCAACGTCGTTTAGGTTCTGCTGAGCTGGAAGATTGAACAGAAACTGACGCAAACCTGGAATACCGGTATCGTTGGGTTGTAGAGCAGGTTGATCCTTGAACATGATTTTGGGCGACTTGATCCATGACATATAGTCAGCAGCGGAGATGTGGAAAACACCAACACGGTCGCTATCAGTTCGACCTCCAAGTTTTGCAGCAAGGTCGACCGAAATGTCTTGTGCACGCTCCCGGATCTTCGCAAGCTTCAAGCGACGTTCAACATACTGCTTGTATCTCGACATGAGCATCACAGTCTCATCGTCGCCTTGTTCGTCTGCAGCCGCTGCTTCGTTGTCTGCCTCTTGCATAAGCCTTTTCAGCTCGTCGTAGAGTAATCCGGTACATTGATTGAGCTGATTGTCCGATATCGACTCCAGATGTTAGCATACCATTGCGTAGCGTGGGCCAGGAACTTACATCGATTTTGGTGGCGACTACTTTAACGTTCGATGACCCATGATGAAGAATACCCGATCGCGTGGTTTGAATGATGGTATCGTCGGTTGTGATCCGAATGGTGTCAGCCAGAACGATCTCAACATCGACAGTTGCCTTGATCTCCTCGGCGTGTCGAGTTCTTGACAAGTTGGTATCGCCCGATCCTATTCATTTGTTAGTAAACTGGGCAATCTGCATATTATGAGAGAATAAATACCGGGAAGATCGATAATCTCAAGACCTTGCTGGAGAAGTTCGTGCTGCAAGCGAATAGTGACGGAGTCTACCAAAGGCCAAAGGCATGGCTCGCCCTTTATCTTGGTAAGAAAGGGTTTGATCTTTTTCATCAACTCCGTTGCACTGCCAGCGGGTACGCCATGCACACCATTGGAGTCTGCGTCGTACTTGCGCATTGCCTCGCTGCATTTCGCCTGGCAAATGCTCATAAATTCGCCTTCCTCGTAGGCGCTTGTGCTCCAACTATCTTTGAATTGCTCTCTTGAACCGAAGATAGTGAGAAAGACGTCTTCTGCTGTATCTTTCAGGCGGCGGTCAAGCTCGTCTTGCTGGAAAGATTTCACGCGGGGGCCTTCCTCATCGTCTGAGTCATCGGCGTCGTCGTAGTATTGGGTGTACGATTTGATGTGCTCTTTCAACATCTCTTCCATCTTTTCCCTGTTCAAGAACTTGATCTCGGCGTAAAATATTTGGTCGCCGGCTTCGTTGTTGGGGTATTGAGCATACCTGACGATAGCGCTGGTACAAGCTGCTCCATCTGCTCCGGTCAAGGAAAGACCATCAATGCCGAATAGCGCGTTGATAAACAAGCTTTTGCCGGCACCTTGAGCGCCCAGAAGAGCTACCTTGATGGGGGGCTTCTTCTCGATTTGCTGAACTTTTGTAATGGCCTTCAAAAGGTGCTCGAGCTCTCGATCGTCCTTGGGCAGCCCTTTCATGGCACTCTGTACAAGTTCGGCGATTTCTTTCAGTGTGACCTGAACGCTTGTCTTGTCGAGGATCCACCAATCGTGATCTGCCTTCTGCTCTTGGGTAGCATCATACTTTGGTACGCTCTTGACCTCCAGAAAGCGTTTCGAGAACTGGTCGGATGTGAGTAGCATGGGTTCGGACGCCATGATGAATATTGAAGCGATGCTTGGATGTGGAGGGAATTGAGCGAATGGGTGCAGTCATCCTTTGGCAGATGTCGTGGACCAGACAGCAAGATTGGAGTGATGAAAGGTTGATGGAGGAAAGAGGAAACTGAAAGCTCGAAGGGATTGCTTATATACCTGTCGTAAAGCTAGCGGTCAGGCCAGCTGGTAAAGGAGCAGAGCGTGAACTGGAGTCCTCGGGTGATAGACGAGATATCAAAAGATACGTGGAAGATTGCGACACTTGTCCGAGAAGTGGCAAAAGGTGAAAGAACGCCATTCGATAGAATGCATTCGGGTACAGAGAGTAAATGCCTGGTGAGAGACGTGATCATGCTGTGCGAACGCGCCGCAGTGGTAGTCAGGTAAAGTGACATGATGCCACGGCGAAGTGTCGGCCTTTCTCGCCAGTCCCTCCGAAGCTCTATGTATAGCTTAAGTATACAAAGAATACCTGCACGTTGAGATGGGATGGCTTCATTATTCGCCATCATGGCGTGAGCATAGCACATGAGAGATGTTCCAGTCGGGTTCAACCATCGCAGTCGTGGTAACAGCATGTTTGAGCGTAGTGACACGTGTGGGTACTTATGAATTGCCAAGGTTCTTGATGATAGTAGGTATTCCAGAGACCAGTGCCGATTTGATAAAAGAGTAAGTCGAAAGCCATAGGCGCAAGCTGGACACGCGCACCTCGCGACGCGTCTGACCGCGGGGTAAATGACTATCCAAGAACGACGGGAAGATGCCAGAGACAACTGCTGCGACGGTTATGTGCTGGACTCGGTAGCGGCATGTGTTCGCACGATAGCATTTTGCGAACAGAAGTGTAGGTTCAGCGTCGGGGAGGAGCGGAGTTCCAGCGTCTGCGCGAGGTGCCTTAGCGCGATCATGTGATAGGCTAGTTCACTTGTGGAAACCACCCACGGGCCGCCTGCAGCAAACACTCTGGACACCCTCGTGCACTTCTGTACTATGACATTTCTTCGCCATCTGAAATCTTCGTACATCGCCAATATAAGGTATCCTGGAGGTGTTCGAAGGTTTCCTGTCAGCACCCAGAATTTAGCGCGAACTATCCACCAGCGCGACGTCCACATCGGCCCCACACTTCATATTTCGCGATCCTCAACACCCATGTATGCTTCTGGGTAACGACGCGCACTGCATGACACTGTCAATTTTCGCGTTCGGTGCACGTCTTGGAGCATGCCAGATGCGGTCACCACGACTGTATACCACCTGGGCAGTGTCTGCACCAGCTGAAGCTTCGAAGAGTTCGTTTGATCATCGGTCTCGGTGTAAGCCGGATGCATTTATACTTCCATGCGCGTTCACTCGATTTCAGCTAGCCTATCTCAAGCCTAGTCGGCGGATTATTTTCTGAAACACGACGCGACGCGCCCGTGATGTGGTGGGCATGTCATCCCTCATACTCACGCTTCGAACACAACGCGTCCTCCTGTGAAGACGTCTATTCATAGCAAGGATGGCACACATGGTGCCCAGTTCTTATTTCGCGAGCACTCTTGATTCAGAGGTTATCAGAGCCCGCGAACATTCTCACGCGGTACGCGACAACATCATGAGCTCGCCTCCACGCTCACGTTCTTCAACCCTAGGCTTGAACGACTACGCCGACGAAGTTATTCCCGGAAGCGATGGATGCCTCAAATGCAATTCCCAGGGGCATTGGGTTAAGGATTGTCCATTAGCGACTTGCTTTCATTGTCGAGAGAAGGGTCATATCATGGACGACTGTCCTGACAAGGCCAACATACAGTGCTACGGATGCAGCGGCTTTGGACATCGCAAAGAATGCCCGAAAATGGAAGATAATAGGACTGCCGCCTACACTAAGATGATAACATGCAGACCAGATGGACTAAAGTCCATGTAGGCTTTGAGGTGTTCACTCTGCCCCTCGAATGAGGTGACTGTGCACTGATGTCTTAGATCCAGAGCCACCAAGGCCTGGTCTTGGTCGAGGACGGGTCGTCTCATTATTGCGCATCATCACTGTAATGAGAATGATCTAGAACCCGTTGGAAGAAAGCTCGCTCCTCAAGTCAACACGTAATTGAAGTGACCCTTTCAAGTTACGCGACACTGGATTGGTTATTGTTGAGGGGTCTGTTGGGGATGGTTTCATGGTACGTTCCCCGCTAATGGTCCTCAACGTACTGCCACATATATAATGCTTCGATACCTCGCGACTCGCTTAGACTGTCTCAATACTTTTATTGATTGTGCTCCATCAGTATACTTTTTCACGGCTCCTGCCTCAACGCCAACGACCTACGCAGATACTTGAGCAGCGCGACCATGTCGGCCAATGCGAACAAGAAGATGGAAACGGTAGAAAAAGAGTGGGAAAGGACGTGCGATGATTTAGAGTATAGAATCAGAGGGGTTAAACAAGACTATGAGGCGCTAGAGAGAAGTCAAGAGAAGTTAAAAAAGGAGACCACGGGGGACAAGAGTCCAATGAAGAAGGTCTGTATGTTGGAGGAGAAGTATGGCACGTTGGAGAGTAGATTCAATGCAATTGGAGGCAACGGTTCAGAAGTAGCAGTCAGAAAGGGAGATTTAGAGGCGTTGATTCACCGGTAAGTTTTTTCCTACACGCTATCAAGGCACCAACTTACAAGGGCGACAGATCCAGCATGCATCATCTTCAATACTCCCGTTCCACACCCAGATCAAACGCGACTTCGCTATCCGCGTTTCGATACGCGCGTACATACGGCAGCCCTTCCGGCTTATACAACAAGACGAAAACAAATCCCACGCATGAGACTTCGCGATCTAGGAGCCTTACGCATATCTCAGCAAACATGCGACGGTTCTAGTTGGAGAGACTTAGTGTAATGAAGAAGACTAGGACTCTTATGTTTACTAAGTCCGCATTGTAGCACAAGCAATGCCATTCTTACAAGCCGCTTCTTTACCCAGAAAATGTCCGCTACCTTGCTTGATCCGAAAGCATACCTAGATACTCGCGTCGAGAAAGCAGTAGAAGCAAGCATTGAGACCATCAGTACTGACAAGCGCTACGTACTGCCCATGTGAAGCCGACCCGCCACCACTCCACTCAATCTCATCTTCTTTCACCATCGTTATGTCTCATTCAATCCCAAGATCAGTCATCGAAAACATCTCAAGGGCATGTGGTCTAGACTCAACAGAACAGAGTATGGCAAGGCGCCCGTAAAGCCGTTGAACTTGCTTGGGAAGGTATATTTTGCTAAAGTTGTGGTGACGCAGAAGTCTACTTCACCTCGGCGTGCCATGTGCGAGTCGCTACTCTGGGACGAGGAGACGACAAAAACTTTTCGCGTTAGGTATTTCGCGAATATAGCGCAGGTTAAAGTATACGTTATCTTATATACTACTTGTCTATCAAAATCTAATAGTGTGTATACAGCAAAGGGCTATACAGCTTCGATTATTTCCTAGTGAAGCGTCTTCGTTCCAAGCCAACCCACCAAATTACCGCCTGTCCGCAACTCCGCCGTAGAGATCTTCGTTCTTTGTAGCTGCAACACCCCATCTCACTCCTCCAGCGCACCCACATAAACCCAGGCCCTGCGCTCAACAACAGCCACCTTACGCGGCCCATCATATTGCCTTTCAGGTTCTCTTCCCATCACATGAGACATGTAAAGCTCCACGATATAGCCAAACGCCATGTCAATCTCGAACTTTATATCAGCTGCCTGGTTCGCGAAGCAATCACGACAGAGATGTTTGAGAGTCGCCGCGTCGATGTACGGTGCTGTGTCGGATGTGCAGCCGATGTAATCGCAGGTACGGCAGTGGAGCGCGGTATGAAGGTCTGCAAGGCTGGAGGTGGACTGTGGACCGAGGCCGATGGCCATTCTCAGGGCGTGAGGAGCGAGTGTGGTGATCTGTTGGTACGGTGTTAGTCTCCAGTCTGGTATTCTCAGCGACTTTTTGCTACCTCTTTCCACTCGAACAAGTTTGACACCAAGTCCATTGCCCTTTTGTTCACTCCCCTCCACGCCAACACAGTAGAAATATCCATTTGCAAGATAATCTGCTGCTGCAACTCTACTGGCAGTTTTGACAGTAAACCCAGACTGGGCGCGGTGGTGTAGTCGAGTCCGCGTGCATGACGGCCATTGTCGAGGATACAATGACGGGCAAGGATATCGTGATGAATGACGCCGCGGAAAGTGTTTTCTTCGTTGTATCTTTTTACGATTATGCTGTTTTCCGCTGACATGATGGTTTAGTTGACGGGGAAGGATTGCTGCGGTGAGATGTAGGCGCCTAAGCGGAAGAAAACTGAATGTAGAAGGCAGTGCGGATTTTGGACTAAGAATAGCGCAAGTGTAATGTGCTTGTCATGTGACAGCAGAAGGAGAACAGACTCAATTGCGTGCTGGCGTCGGCTTGTGTAGACGATTCACTGTTGTGAATATTTCAATGCCTCACGTCTTTCTATTTGTAAACGTTATGACGAAAGAGCTTACAATTATCCTACAATGTGTACCTCATACAAGGGATAAACTGAACACCCTAGAGCCTACGTCGCCATTAGGCTACTTACTTTGCCCGTTCTTATCTTAATGTAGGCTCTAGAGGTGTTCGATTTTTCCCTTAAACAGGGTAGTGGTTTAGAGAAGAATCACTCTGAACGCTTACGCGGCTACCGAATCGATGGGCGAGTTGGAGCACTCCTGTCGATGCTGCACCCATTCGCTCATATTTGGTACTTAGGGAGGGACATGGCCTGAACACAGTGCAAAACCAGTCATCACGAGAAGATATGTTAATAACAGAGATGTGATGAACGATTAAGGACATATGCAGAGGCTGCGATAGAATCTGCCGTGTATATTTTGAACATTGGAGTTGTATTCCCATGGCTTGTAGGATGCGTGAGAATTATATATGGTCTACGTCGGATTGGAGCCAGTGATCAATAACAGACTGAACTAAAAATATTAAAAATA